GATTAACAATAAGATGTTAAACGTTTGGACAGAAAAACGCAGATATCTAAGATGATATTGACGGGCTTGATTCATCATTATTAAAGTCAACTTAAAAATCCTAAAAGACGTTTCACTGAAAATCGATGTTTAAAACCGCAGTATGAGTGTTTCAGGCGGGCAGTAGGGGAGGAGAAATTTTTGAGTAAAATGATATGTGGAAGCTCAACGCACTTGTCACACTGAGAGTGCGCCTCCTATATATTGTTTAAAATGTTGGCACTCACACGTAATCGTCAACCCTCTAGCGATGTCTACATCATACATCAGTGGTGTATCTCCACAGAGTATTTATATATGTTTTTGATGCACAACATCTTTGTTAGCCAAACAAAACAAAAAGTGATCTGCAGCTAACCAAATAACTTGGAAGGACCCACCTGTCCTCAGCGCCATAGTACGTTCAGAGCTGTCCCCACTACCCAAAATGCTCAGAGCTGGCAACATCCAGATACACAGTATGTGTTTAGTTCAGCAAAATCCACCACCCAGAATGCTGAAATCGGGATGTGAAAGGAGTTTGAACATCGGATGAGGAGGGTTAGCCAATACATCGAACCTGCTAATGCCATCATTCGACGGCAGGGTTTGAATAAATGTGCATTCAACTATTAATGTTGCCCTCACCTATTTCTGGAGCTTTCTCTGGGCTACATACTTTAGTTTTATCAGTCAAGAAACTTCACTGTAATCTGGATGACAATAAATATGTACAGTAAGAAATAATCACCTTGGGTAAGCACTATCGAAAGGTGCAAGCGTTATGAGAACGGCAGTTCAGAAAAACCTCAAAATAACGCTTTATAGTGCAGGTCTCTTTGTACAGTACTTTTAGGCACGGGATTTTTTCTTTGTTTCGTTACAATATGCACGCTGCGATCCGCCAAATACTCTCCAGACCTAATTGCCGTTGGTGAAACTATTAAAAGTAATCGTGTTTCGCAGAAAGTCGATAAACGCCTTATCTAATCCAGTAGAATATTTTTTTATTTCGGTACAGTGGTTGTTCAAAAACGAGACGGCTTCCACTGTTGAAGAGAACAATGTGATTTGCAGTGTATAGCTGCTACGGCTGAGCTGGAAGTAATTCTTCTTATTTACCTCACAAAACACGGCACCAAGCACTGTGCACACACACGTACACGACAGGCTAAATATGAGTAGATGTGAAATTCGCTGCAGCCGAAAGGGTGAGTAGGCCTCGATTATGGTATTCATATAGTTTACTTCCCCTAAAATTTTGGCATCCTCTGCGACGAACATTCCAGATTCACACGTCCTTCATGCGGCAGTTTTGTTAAGCAAAATATATTTTGAATTAGCCACCAGTTATATCTCGCATATATTATTATTATGTCTTTGAAGCTGTATTGAGATAACCAGTGGTTCAAATTAACCGCCTCGCTAAATTCACCAAACTACTGTGATGTATTTTACGTCAGAATACAGAAATACTCCGTTTTTCTCACTTAGAGGCCATTTTCTCTATGGTTCGGTTGAGTGAACAGAATACGCTTAATTATATTAGTTTTACACGGTTTGGAGTGACCCAAGAGACAAAACGTATGCGTTTTCCAGTGTGCATTTGACAAATACGTTTTCATTTGGGACAATAAGCTTACGGAATGTTGGCACACTCTTGTAAATTAGATTGCAATTTCGGGTTTTGAGATGGCATTCCGTGGTCCTTGAAATCCACGAAGTGATCCATTTATTGACCAAAACCGGTTGAGAGAATCACCTAATTAATTAACTGGCATTTTTCAAAACCGGATTATTAGAAAAACGAAAATGAGGTCAAGGTAAATTTACCTATCTTCAATTTAGAGCGGGATTGATCTGAACCGATAAATATTTGCGGTTAATAGAGGAGTGTTTAATTAAGATGAAAATATAGCACTCCTCACATTGGCGAAAACCCATCAGTGACGTTACTTTCTAAGTGAATTTCGCTTCACAACCTCAAGAAATGTATCGGATTTTAATAATGTGGTTACCACAAGAGCCTCCACTACTCTTTGTGCGGGTATCTGCTTATAAGACCGCCCTCTAAATTCATATTAACCCAATAAGATTCCCAATAGTTTTCGGGAGCTTTTTAAGTGACATTTTGCATCTTGTTTGTTCCCATTCAAAGTAGTGGTTTGCTATGCTAACTGTCTGGGCACCAGGTTAACGTTATTTGGTAAGCCGAATTCGACTAGGTGTGTTTGGTTTTACTCTCCAATGCAAAATTCTGTCGTAGGGGTACTAAATAAATCCTCTAAAAATTCGGTATCGCCATTTTTCTTTGACTTAGTCGGGTGTAGTCAGACGTGCGTGCCTAATGCGACGGCATCCACCTGCTTGACACAGCCATGCTTGAATAATTTTCGTCCATTAATAGATGCAACTAATGTCCACGAGTGGATGCAACCAAATCAGAAGAACAAAACTTCAGTAACGCAGCTGTCTACCTCTAATCCACGTGCTTCGATGTGACCATGATACTATTTCTGAGTAGAATGAAACCTACCAGCTGAGCCAAGTCTATTACACAAATGGTTGCCAGTGAGTAAAACATCATACAATAACTTAATGAGCACAACTTGTTACATTATTCTAGATCCTCCTGGTCTTCTTGTCCTGAACTCCTTCTGATCTTCTGTGTTGGCACCGCGGAATGGCAAGCGATTACTAGAAACAAGTGTGCGCTAGCCATTAGTGTTTTTGCGCCACCTGATGCACTTGAATCAGATTAAAGAAGAATAATCACGTACACTATTGCTGCACTCTGGCTTAAATCGTTGAAGTAGGTAGCGATCAGCATTAGCATCGAACGACAAATTCAAAACTGTTTTACGATCGTTTATAAGTTTCAAATTAGGGTCACCAGCTAGCAACCACGCATCAAAGTTGAGTTTGTGATTGTAAACGGAATTACAGGCTTAAGAACTCTACTTTGAAGTTTACTCCCTAAGCAAACCGATGGTTTCCGAAAACTCTCAAACAATGAGGCGTAACGATTTGACCGGCCAAAAAGCTTTTCAAATCTTGGGGTACATAGAGGAATTGGAATCTGTCCGAGAGTTCGTAGGAGGCAACCGGGCTCTAGACAAGAGACAATTTGGCGTAGATGAACCGTTGTTAATGCAAATATACAGCCAAATATATATAAACTTCGGTTTAATAGGGGGTTGTCACACACCCGTTTGCATCACTTTTGCTCATACAGCCCTCCTTCTGTTCTGAGTCAACTGTTACTAATGAGAAAAGCCAAAAAGTATTTTTTCATCATTAGCGTCTATTAGCAGTGCAGAAAATTCACGGTGCACCGATTTATACACCAGACATCTAGTTGTCAATCCCAACTCATGAACATTTTTTCCAGCGGCGCACAATCGACATATTTAAACTACCGCGTCCGAACGCTTTGAACAGCTCGCGAGAGGGCTTTGAGACGCCGAGCAGAACACCTATTCCTTCTTCATTTTTGGTGTAACTCATTGGAGTATTTGTGCAAGGACAGGATAGAGCAATGGTCGTCACATGGGTGGAGATGAATATAAGTAAATATGTGGCAGAATGGATAACGGGAGGCTAGATGCACGGCTACACAGCAAAGCAGGCATGCAGACAGAGAGACACAATCGGACAGACAAACAGGCAAGCACAGATAGATTGATACATAAATGAATTCATAGATAGGTAGATAGATTGATTGATTGATAGATCCATCGATGGATAGATAGATAGATAGATAGATAGATAGATAGATAGATAGATAGATAGATAGATAGATAGATAGATAGATAGATAGATAGATAGATAGATAGATAGATAGATAGATAGATAGATAGATAGATAGATAGATAGATAGATAGATAGATAGATAGATAGATAGATAGATAGATAGATAGATAGATAGATAGATAGATAGATAGATAGATAGATAGATAGATAGATAGATAGATAGATAGATAGATAGATAGATAGATAGATAGATAGATAGATAGATAGATAGATAGATAGATAGATAGATAGATAGATAGATAGATAGATAGATAGATAGATAGATAGATAGATAGATAGATAGATAGATAGATAGATAGATAGATAGATAGATAGATAGATAGATAGATAGATAGATAGATAGATAGATAGATAGATAGATAGATAGATAGATAGATAGATAGATAGATAGATAGATAGATAGATAGATAGATAGATAGATAGATAGATAGATAGATAGATAGATAGATAGATAGATAGATAGATAGATAGATAGATAGATAGATAGATAGATAGATAGATAGATAGATAGATAGATAGATAGATAGATAGATAGATAGATAGATAGATAGATAGATAGATAGATAGATAGATAGATAGATAGATAGATAGATAGATAGATAGATAGATAGATTTACGAAACGTTGACTGGCTAGTTTTGCATGTTTGTCACTTGATTAACATTATTTCGCATATGTGTTGATATATCACATTTAATGGAGTAGGAATATCCTGTGTTAAAATGCAGTTTGCATTATACATGTTGGTTGTGGATTCCTTGGTAGCTAAAAAGGACTAAAGAATTCCTTGTGCAAGGCAGATAGCTGTTGATGCAAGCTCGTCGCTCGTCACCTTGTTTTGCATTTCCTTTTTTACTTACTGTCCGCACTGGGCCGTTCTCTTCCTGGGATTTCCTTCCACCAGCACAACAGATTTCCACCGTAAGTGGTGATTTTCTGCGAAAAATATAACGGTTTTCCAATATGTATTAGGAAAATTTCGAATTTGTTTGAGTCGCCAAGAAATTTTGGAGGTAATCACATTAGGTTGTAGCCCCCGGGGCCAACCGCTCAAGTGTTTAACCACAAGCCGTGATTTTGTGGGTTTAAACTCTGTGATTCTCGGGAGAGATGCACTAGGAATGAGTCCCAATAAGAACGAACATGCACAGCGATTATTCGCCCTTTAATATAGACTGGTGTTCCACTGCTAGTGAGAAATCAGCATTCTCCTCTCACTATCCTACTTCTACATTTCACTTTTTAATTCGACCGAAAACCGTAACCTCCATGAATGTTTAGTTGAGTGTGGTGTGCAGCAATAGATGTTTAGATTTGAAACGGAAAAAAGCAGCATACAATAAAACAGCATAATCATCCAAAATGTATTGCACTGTTATGATTGTTTTGAGAATATATTAAGAATATGCTTGCCTTTGCCGAGTGCTGCGTTGATTCAACGTGCAGTAGAATACCCCGTATTTGGAGCGTAAGCAGTGGCATCATAGTCAGCGTAGCACAATCGAAAATGTGTAGTCCTCTGAATTGTTGATCAATTCCAAGCGATGTTATCAAAGACGAGAAGAGGTTTTCGATAGAAAAGTCGACTGAATGTCGGCGTCAGGTATAGCTACGTACTGCTTCGTGCTGAATCCGGTTTTCCGAATAAATATCCTGTAGACAAGCAACACTCATGATAAATAATCACAAGTCTCGAGTAAACATTGTCAAACACTCGAATCCTTTTGGCGCTTACCGTTCAACTGCCTTTTCCCCAAACCTCCCGCCACGAACGCCTATTTAGTTCGCGCCTGGCGGTGGATATACTTCCACGTCTTCACCCATTACGAAATACCCACCTGAACTGATTTTTGGAATCAAAGCGTAAATAAACCATCAACATGAACAGCTTAGTGTTTTTGTGGGAGCCAAACACGAATAAGAATGATCCATTTGGTAACAAGGCTGATAACCACAACAGAAAGAACAAATTTCAACTCACTTTTCAAAGTGAAAACCAAACTTTTGACTAAGAGGATCTTGCTGATACATAAAATAGAGAACTGTTCCGGTATTTAGGGAATGAATTGGTCCACGGCTCAGACCGACGATTCCACCGAATGAATCTGTAGTTACCCGTTGCGATCCATGTGTCACTATGCCAAAAGGAAAATTCTTGACGAGCATCTGTCCAAACTAATAAAAACTGGACCTTGCCTCAGTCCATCTTCCGGGGGCCTCTTCTGGAGGCATCCAGGGCCACCTTCGCCCGGCCCCAGAGGAGCGTCTTCAGCACTGCCAAATTACCCTGGTCGGTCTCCACCCCGGCAGCATCCTAAAATCTCCCAGGAAACCTTGAACAACCCCATCCTCAAAGGATTGCGGCCACGGGATCTTCATCATTATCATGGTCCCGCCACAAAATGAAAAGGAGAAAGCGTTTGGTGTGGAGGTATTTATTAGGAAATGCCAACTGACCGGTTACAGACCATTGGACAGGGAATCAAATCTCTGATCTGCATCTTAATTACAAAAACTGGACATCAGTCTTGTATGAAGGCGTCTGCTTGAACCTTCCTGGAGATTCGTTGACTCCAATCATCCCTCACTAAAACCCTGGAAAATGTTATAAAACGACTCCACAAATTCCGCAACAAATCTCCCCTTTTCAAGAGACGCGATGCGAAATTCCACGAACAACACATAATACTCGCGTGCCTCCCCGTCAATAGTATCACCGTTACACCAGCATGCGACGCTGATTATTAAGCCACAACTATGCGCATTGTCCCAATCTAACTGCTAACGATGGTCTGTCATACCAATAAATGTGTGTTATCTCGCTTATGTCTGCTACTTATATTAGACC